TTGTAATAATGTTTCTGTCACGTGATAGGGTCGATCCTAGGAAAAAATATCGGACCTGTTTTTTTTTTTGTTCCAGGGGGAACGTCCCAAATCAGGGGTCGTCTAAAGCCGATCTTCCCCAGCATCGCCAACAAAATTTTTATCAGATCTACCAATCAATTATGTGACTGATCTACCGATCACAATACCGTGTTTGCATATGAACTTGTGTATTGAATTTTTTTATTGATATACAGTTTTTTTTCGATTTTCGCATATAATTTATTTTTCTTTAACAGGATTATTTAATAAAAAAAGCTTGTGTTTAAAAGAGTAAAAAATAAGTATATGCTTTCATTTCCTTATTTATTTATTGAAACAAAACTTATTTATTTATTCAAACAAAACCAAAATTTTATATTTAAAATATAATTTATGACTCTTTTAATATTAGTATTAGTATTAGTATTTTTTTATTTTTCTGCTTTTTTATAAGAAGATATCATCAGATTGGTGATATTTTATTGTAAGACAGTAGCTTAACAGTGCCGGTCCAAATCCGGTTCCACTACGCATTGATGTACAGCAGTTTAATTAGTAATCATCATTGTTCAAACTTTGTTATTGTATTCTCGGAGGTTTCTCCCTATTTTACTAAAATGTTTTGTGCTCGCAATATCAATTAAGATCATTTTTGTTTTCGATTTTAATAACAGCATAAAACGTGTATAAATATTTCATGAAAAATATTAAATCTATAATTAGTTTGTGAAGCAATAAATTTATTAGAGACTGCATAATTTTATTAAAATCCCGAAGCTTAATAATTTGACAATTACAAAAATAAAGTTCTTTCATATATCTTTTACCTCTATCTTAACCTACATAGATCCACAGAAAAACTTACTGCGATGCTAGCAGATAATGAACTGTCAGAATTTTAAATTTCGGAAATTTGGAGCGCACTCATTTTTATCACTATTATTGTACGAACATAGGTAGAAAGAATTTTTAATTTTCCTCGAGTAAATCTAAGAAATAATAAGAGTGAATACACAATGCAAAAAAAAAAATACATAATGAATGACGGAGAAAACGACGTCCTGGAATCGTATAAAAAACTTTGATATCGAATAATGCAAAAGTTTCATTATAGCTGCTTAAGCTATTAAGATTAAAATTATTTAGGATATTTTCGGACAGCAAAAAAGCTGCGGACATCCGAAATATAAAACACTGGATTACAGCTGTTCTCATAAATTCTGGGACAAATTAAAAGGACAAATTAAAATTTGCTCGTCACCCGAAATCTTTTCGATCTAAATTACCTAACTTTACGGAAACTACATCGCTATCTTTGAACCTTTAGTCCAGAGACAGCGATGTAATTCTCGGAAGGATAGGTAATTTACAGGACGAAGCCGAAAAGGTTCGGGTAACGAGCAAAATTTTAATTTGTCACAAAATTTATGGGAACAGCTGTAAGTTACTAAAGATTCTTTAGGAACCGAATCCGTTAAGGTGATAAATTCAATTGTGAATCACTAATCTATGGTATATATTGTTAGTCGAAACAGCCATGAGTCTAGTCAAATGGTCTTTTTAATTTAATAGATTAGTTACACTAATATAGCCTAGAACGATCAAATTTTGACCAGTTACAAGCTTTTACATGTACGTAGGTACGTACGTACCAGACTGGTCAAGTTTGTTGGTCTGGTCAAGAATGATATTAACCGATCTGTGCCAGCTCCGAATAATTTTTGCGCTCCTTGTTATCAACTTATAAAAGAACATTTTGATGATATAGAAGGCTGATAATTCAGAAGACTATAAATTAGAGTGAAGGTTAAAGGAATTTGAAACCTATGATCAGTGCTGTTAACTAGACGATATAAAAATTAGGGAGGTTGATGACTTTTTTTCAATTGCAACTTTAATGCCCGTGTTATTATAAATTATACTGGTTTAGGATGTCTTTAAACAAGATGTTCCAAATTTTGAATGCTTACACTCGCAGATTATTGGGCTGATATGAAATCCCTTGCCTATGTAATGTTATGTAGTATGCCATGCCGAATTGTGGCTTGCATTGCCTGAATGGAGGTCAAATTTAAATTCGTTATGTTTTTTCATGACGTATCTACATACCATACAGAAAATACCATTTTTAGTTTCAAAGTAGATCTAAGTACGTACGTACGTACATGGCTTGGATTATAAGATGAATACATACTGTACGTACGGAGAATTCCGATATAAGAAAAAAAAAGTATTTATGATATACGTAATAATGAAGAGTCGTTAAAGTTTGATACGTATAGAGAAGTCTAGCTCGAAACGGTAATAAATTTTTCGATAATGAACTTATTAATATTTCTAATCACAGAAGCTTTTTTAGTTCTCGAAGAAATTATTCGTTATTTAGTAAATCATCTAAATCGTATTAAGACATGAACTTGAAATTCGGGATTTTTTTTTTAGAAGTAAACTTTGGATTTGTGCAAGCTATACGAACATCTAGATGCAAAATTCTTTAAACGGATAAGATCCGAATAAGAAATTTTGGAACCGGTCCGTTCAGACTAGAAAGCTTGGACTAATTGATGAGGCCTAAAGTTTAATACTATGGAATAGATCAAATAACGACACAGTTCAATATAGTCATGATTAGATGATAGTTTAACCAAAGAAGTGTTGAATGAACTTTATGCCATTATCAAAGTTCGACACCATTTGGTGTAAACCCCAAAAAAGTTATTTATGATAGAATTGGTCAGTTTAATGGCAATTGCCAAGTAAAAGATCAGTGCTTGCAATTGGATCATTGGTTCTATGTTTAATCCAAACACTGCAAGGGATAACTCAATATCCTCCATTCATGTATACTATGCCTAATTAGTTATCTAATGACCACAAATGAGAAGCAAGACTATTCTAAATTGATGATAATGCTATAGGAAAGAAAGTAAGTTACGTCCGTTACGTCTGTGTGCATGAAGATAAATAAGCATGTGACTATGAAAAGAGTATAATCAATCAGGTCAGAATATTCAACGTACGAATAAGGTCTCAAAAAACATATAAAACTTATCCCTTTCTGTTGTAAGAATTTTTTTACTTCATTTTTAAACTGTTTAAGAAAAATGAACCTAAGTAATAATTGTGCGTATACGTGTTTTCATTTTATGAACCATTCCTAGAGAACGCATGTTTAAGAGGCGTACTTAAAACATGCATGCCGAAAATCAATTTGACGAAGCCAATTAAGAAAAAAATGGGGTCTAAAGTAATATATCGTGAACTTGCGGCGCTGGGTTTCCTAACATAGCTCTAACCGCAAACTAAAAATACGAATGTATGTACATACGTATGTACATAGGTACGGTAAATCGAAATTTCTTCCATAAGTGATTAGCACCGGTCAAATACGACCATTTACTGTTCCAACACCCATTGTCTTTTTGGATATACAAAAATCAAAAGCCACGAGTATTTAATCGTATTAATGCAGTATAATGCATATAATTTTGCATTCCATTAAACCAACTAAATTTAATATATTTGCAAATCAGGAACGTTAACTTTTTTGAATGACTGGAAAATTGTAACATATGTACCGTAGGCATTTAATGTTCTGGGTGATTATTTTACCATACAAATCCAATGCTCATGTTCTGTATTCAGTTACAAATAGTTTCAGGGTGGGTTAATAGTACTATATTACGAGAATATCGCTAATACATAAAAATCTTTATTTATCGTTATATAATTATTAAATATTATACTACCTGTATAATCACCCCAAACAGACAACAATATAAACGAATTTTATTAATTGTTGGTATCACATCCTATTTACTATATTTTTCCTCGATCTTTTATTTATATTACCGTACATGTATAAATCGAAATATTGTATAATTGTGCAATACCAAAATACTGTAAAAATTAACAGATGAACCATCGCCACATTTTCGGGAAGGTAACGTTAAAATAATGTACTTAACCTTTTTTGTCAATTTCTTTGTCGTGTCATTTGCCTGATTATCAATTATTATAAATTTGTTACATGGTAGCCGTCCCGTAACCTGGGCACACTTTGGCTTGGACTTTCGTACAACCTTCTTTCCTGGACTTTGATATTATCCGTGTAACTTTCAGATAAAATATAAAAAAAAAAAAATCATTGGGGATAAATGGCTTCAATTTGTTTGAACCACAAAAAATATTAATAATAAATAGACCTTTCCAAATACTCTAATATTATATAATATTCTTCTGAGTTGGTCCAACACAGTTCTGCATATACGTATAAATCCACTAAAAATCTTTTAGATTAATTTTTTCGGATTTGCACCCTATTCCCCGGTTTATTAATTTCTCTCACTTCGTTATAACCACCCTCCTTTTTTTTGTATACACTATATAAAGAATTCATTTTTTGTTTTTTTTGTTACGGTGCTCCGGTACCGCTATTTACCCCAAACCCAAATAAAAGATAAATTTTACAAGTTGATTTATAATTTTAAAGAATAAAAAAAAAAATCCAAGTATATTCCTGGATTTTCTTAAACTACCTAGCTTTTAAATTTGACCCTATAACACACGGTACCCTTTTTTTAACTTTTTTATAAAAAAAAAAAAAAAATTTTAACGAAGATATTTATATACTGCTTACCTAGCTATACCTAGGTTTTTGAAAGAAAAATCTTTCTTGTTTTCGCACCCTTTAAATTTTCTTTTTTTAATAGGAAAGGATAAAATAGATGGACGATAATGTATCTTATCAATTTGCACCGGTACGACAGCGTAGAGATGATAGACAGAATATGTAAGTATATTGTCTCGCTCTAATTAATTAACGACATGAACTTGCCATGAACTTCATACATATATGCGTGATGTTATCCTTGGCTGATATTATTATTATTTATTATTTTAATGTCCTGATAAATTAGTCGGTATGAGTTAATTCTCAGGCAACAACCAAAACAATCAAGAATGTGTGGTATTGGTGAAAAAGGTAAGCCTCCACATTTGTTCTTCATATTCTTGGAAAGTGGTTATCAAATATGGTGGAAATTTCGTTATCATTTGCGTTACATAAAGCACTTTTTACATATCGTTTGCCTTCCTTCTTCGATGATTGCTACCAAAGAAATTGAAAATTGTTATCCGCTTGGAATTCACGTGCTTTATCAAACCACCACTGTTCGCTTT